GGGTGGGCAGTGGGGTGGGCAGTGGGGTGGGCAGTGGGGTGGGTGGGCAGTGGGGTGGGCAGTGGGGTGGGCAGTGGCAGCCCCGCCCTCACGCCCACCTCTCCATCTCTGTGCGCTGCAGGCGTGGCCATCAAGATCCCCATTGTGTGCGTGGTGCTGGAGGGCGGCCCGGGCACGCTGCACGTGAGTACGGCTGGTGCCTGGCTGCCTGCGCGGGGCGTGCCGGGGCTCTGGGCGTGACCAAGCGCAGCCAGCTGCCTCCAGGGTGGGGAGAGGAGCCAGGCTGGCAGAGCCTTTCCTGCTGGCGGGAGGAGCCCGGGCGTGGGGGCTGCGTGGGCCGCGTGGCTGTGCCCGGGTGGGAGTCAGGGGCCCGTGGGGTGCTGGGGGCGGGCGCTCTGCTCTCGGGACCCCAGGGAGGCCTGTGGGACCTGTGAGTCCTTCCCACTCTGCATTTGGGGTGTCCAGCGCTCAGGGCCCGGGCAGCAGGCACTTGGGAGGTTTGCACGTTGGTGCCACACTGGCTTCGGGAGCCACCGTGCGGTGTGTGGTCAGCCTCGGCCATGGGTGCCGGCCAGGTCTCCCAGCAAGAGGAGCCGCAGGCTTGCGGTACAGCGACAGTGTAGCAGGGTCCCTGATCTCCATAGGTCAGAACAGAGCCCGGGGGTCTTGGTACGGTCCTGCGGGCACAGCAGGCCACACAGCCACACCCAGGGTTGCCTCCAGCACCGGGCTGTCTTTCCTGCCAGCAGTGGGCTTCAGGCCCTTCCTGCGGCCCCGGGGCTCACCTCGTGGTCCTGCGGTCTCCTGGGCCTTGGTCATTCAGCCCCACAGCTCCCCTGTGGCAGTGAGAATACCCCACGTCTCCGTGTCCCGGAAGCAGGGCTGGCAGCACCTGCGCCATTACCCACTGCACCAGGCTGGTGCACTGCAGCGGCGTGCCGGGCCGAGCCGTCAGGACACTCGGCGGGGTGCCGGGCAGGGCTAGGCGTCTTCCCGGCTCATGCCCGGCCCCGTCCTGTCCCGCAGACCATCTACAACGCCATCACCAACGGCACGCCCTGCGTGGTGGTGGAGGGCTCCGGCCGCGTGGCCGACGTCATCGCACAGGTAGCCAACCTGCCCGTCTCCCAGATCACCATCTCCCTGATCCAGCAGAAGCTCGGCGTGTTCTTCCAGGAGATGTTTGAGACCTTCACCGAGAGCAGCATTGTTGAGTGGACCAAAAAGGTGAGACGGACAGGCAGGCAGGCAGGCAGGCAGCGGGGCGCAGTGAGACCCGAGAAACTTCTGGAGACGTTGTTGGCCTGTTAGACTCCAGGGACCTGATGTGGGGGCCCCAGTGAGCCAAAGCCCCGGATGGGCAGGAAGCCCGTCCCAGGGAGTCGGATCCCATGACCAGGCACCAGGCGAGGCTGGCGTGGAATCTCTCGTGTGGGGGCTGGGGTTGGTCTTGAACTTGAGAAGACGGGGGGGGGCGGGGAGGCCTAGGGAGGAGCAGCAGGGGTTGAGCAGAGGCTGAGTCTGCGCTGAGATCGGGGGTGGTAGAGGAGCCTTTCCTGGCACAGCCGCGCCCGTCAGGATGTGGTCCGGCCTTGGAGCCTGGGAAGTTCCAGAAGCGGGCTTCAGGTCCTGGTGAGCTCTGCAGGGCCCCACGGCCCCAGCCGCGCCCCAGCCTGCGCCCTGGTGCAGAACCCCAGCCGCGCCCCAGCCTGCACCCTGGGTGCAGAACCCCAGCCGCGCCCCAGCCTGCACCCTGGGTGCAGAACCCCAGCCGCGC